AGTTCTAATTTTGAATCGCGCATAATATGTAAACATGCATACATACATATATACATACATAAATATGTACGTGTTTGTGTATTTTTTTTTATACCATGTGAATGTACCACAAGCATAAAACCAATTACATGTAGAAATCTTTATGACAGCTTAACGGTGACACGTGCGTTTTACGTTCACCAATTCCAACGGCCATTGTGGGCTATTGGAGCAACCACCACTTCCGTCAACCCACTTCTTTTTGCCACCACACTCTGTGCTTAGCTTGACATTAAAATCCTAAATTGAAATTATGCCAGTATTTATACGCATTCTCCGTTCACACCTCAGTATATCCAGTAAACAAACTTAGCTATTTTTTTTTTACCAAGTTTGGTCCCCATAAAGGACTAGTGTTGCAAGCAACGCTTTTTCGGCAATTAGGGTGTTGTGCAGCTATTTAATGTGGTGAAAATTATTTAAGCACTGGAGAGATTTATTCACATGGAATTGGAGATAGGGCTGATAGATTTATTTTAAATAAATTGTGAATCTGCGAAAATATCTTTTCAGCAGATGAATATACTTTTTAACCTTTTTCCCGAAAATTTACATACAGGCTCGAAAATATGCGAGTAACATTAGGTTTGTATAGTAACTTCTCCAGTAAAACATTGCAGCGAGAGCGTAAAAGCAAAATAGAGCGTAAAATTGAGAAGAAGAGAAAACTAGCAGAAGAGGTTATTGAACACAAAACTAGCAAAAACTTGCAAGTTGTTGCACTGCTTTGACAATCTGCTGTAAACATTTTACTATTTATAAATCAGTTTTAAACTCTTTGCTTTACACACAAGCACTTACACTGTCCAGTACATCATTAATATTATGATTTCCACTCATTTTACTTTTGTTTGTGCCAAGGCGAATCAATATAAGGTGATAGCAGGAGTACAAAAACAAAAATTTACATGTATTTTGTTTTCGCTTTGGCGGCATAAACTGTCAAAATCTGTAAGTGTGTGTAGAAATTCAAAAAAAATTTTTCAATTTGATATCAGAAGCCGTGCGGCGAAACACATACACAAAATCAACTGAGCTAGTAACACCACTTTTTATATATTCTTTTGACATTTATTCTTCTTCTTCTGCTAGCTAATTTCTGCTAGTAAAAATTCAGAATTTGCAGCTCTCTCGTGTTGTTACGCTCTCGATTCAGTGCTCTCTTGCAAATTTTTTGGGTTATCATACACTTTTCCAGTAAAAGTTTGCAGGTTCCAGTACAAATTAGTACTGACTATTGGTAACTATACAAACCTATTCAAATATCGTCGCCTGGATGGAAAATTGCCGGAAGCGTCATTTTGACAATTTTCGTTAGTTTCCGACTAATTGACTAAAATTTTTTCGGTTATTTGGTACAAATTGCGTTAGTATTGCTGTCGTACTAAACTAATCAAGATCTTTCAAATAGAGTTATCTGTTCTTCTTTAGTTTCCGACATATTCAGCTTTATCATGAGTTTCATTTTCTAGAACCGGGTCACTTTTCGTTTGCGTGTGTTCACTACAGGTGGATGAAAAAATTGTTGGCGAAATTTTGTTCGGGCGAAACTCACGATTAGGCTGATTAGTAAAAAGTATGGTTAATTTATAAAAATTGTTATCACATTTTGGCGTATATCACTAAAACTGACTGCAAATTTTTTGACAAATGTCGTATACGACAAAATTTTATTAAACTCATAAATGGTTGACACTAAACTAAAAAAAAATAAGATAATTTAAGAATTTCATGAACTAGTACATAGCATTCTCCGACACTTTGGAGAAAATCTGTAGTCGTGTTTCTGAGAAATTGCATTCCAAACTTCAATCGTGAGTTCCCGAAAGTAACTTGTGACAATATTTTATCCAGGGATCTACATAAATTATAATTGTCATTATTTTCGCAGTTGGAGTATATGCCAGACGAGTAACAGGTATATACATACAAGGATACCTAAATTAGCGCGTTGAACTTGTATATTTATCTCTCTCCAACGCATTAATTCTATATACGTAGGTACCAACGCCTGACAAAGTTATGTCTAAATTTAATAATGGCTCTATGACAAAATATTCATGGAATGTATTCGTAGATTTTTATTTACTTCATTTCATACATTAGCATTGATGTTTTGTTTTTCATACATTAGTATTGATGTTTTTTACTAAATACCAGGAATAAATATTTAATAAAAAACTATTTCATTTAAGCTTAACCAACTTTTAGTTGCTCGGAGCTAATTTTGGAAGGCTTCACGAAATATTTTCATAGATAGTAAATGCAACCCTGGGTGCATCATTAACGAGCTGAAAAACCAAACAAATAAAAAAATTCCATCTGAACCAATATTCCCAAAAATTATAAAGCAAAACAAAAACCATTTCTTCTAATTTAAGCACTGTTATTTTTATTATTGCAATACAATTTCGCAGCTCTTCAAACATTTTCCACATTATGCTTTTAGGGCTAGTAGTTTCCGACCCCATTTGCTCGTTTTTTTCTTCAATTCTGAATTTAGGCTAGGCTTCATGGGAACTTACTGTGGGTGCAAACAGACCACATTTTGTAAACTGAATTGTGATATTTAATTTTCTTGTATAATGAAAAATGAATTTAGTGTGCAATTTTTTAAGTTTACTAGATGTAAGACAACTTTTAATTTTCTTTATATATTGCATGCTTTAGTTTTAATTCTGTTTAAGTTAAGTTGTAAAGGTGAAAATAGGCCTCCTGGGCAACAGAGCACATTAAAAAAAAATCGGTAACGCGCGTAAAAGCATACCTCACAAGTGGTGTGCAAAATGCAAGAACAAATAGTAAATGGAATAATTTTCGAAATTATGAAATGGTTATTGGTATTTTCCATCTCAAAGGGGGTGATTAATTTGAACGTTATTTAAGCTGCCTTTACACGGTCGATTTTTGTCGTTTAACCAAAATCTACCCGTGTAAATTGCAATTCAACCGTAAAATGTAAGCGTTTTGGCTAGTCGATATCTTAAGTAAATTTTCCAGTCGACAGATATCGACCCGTGAAAAGGCAACTTCAGGAATTTTTTAATTTTCTTTTTTTTTTTTGCTTGGGCGTCTTTTGAAGATGTGCCAAATTATATTGTCTACATAAATACAAAACAACAATTTCTTTAAGCCATCTTGTGCAGCAATTTGTTGATCTTATCCTCACGGCTACCGAAATCACCAACCTCAACGTAGTGATTAGCCTTCTTGCGCCAGCCTCGGGTTGATGTGTTGAGCTTGAATAGCAACAGGAAGTTGGAGGCTTTCTTGAAGTCGGTTCCAACAGTAAATATTTCGTGCGCCAACTAATCTACGCACTGAATTTCGTGCGCTTTGCGAAATTTGCGTTCGATCACAAAGCTGTCAGAGATTGAGACACGTTGATGGTTGTGCTTGACAATTCCACGTTTGTACATCAATTCACTTCACTTTTCGCACTTTTGTTGCAACTTTGTTGATACCGCGGATACGGATCACAAAAGCCAATTTGGATTTTTCAGGCCCGCAGAATTGGCCGCATTTCTTTGCCACACAGCGCAACTTCATCCCACGGCGTCCATCACCGAGTTTTCTTGTTTGATATTTCTCAGCATGCACGAAGTTTTCACGTTTACAGAGTGCAATCACAGCAGAGCGCTTTAGTTTACGTTTGATCAGGGTAGCAGTTTGCTGACCTGCTTCTTGCTGAACTTCTGCTTCGACTCGGGGACAGGAGGCAGCTTCCTGGAAGATTGTCTGCCCTTTCCTTGCGGTTTCTTACCGGCCGTGAGGGCAGTCATCTTAACTTGTTACTTAGCACGTTGAAAAGGCGAAAAAAAGTTCGCCAAATGCTTGGAGCACATCGTAAATGAGCCACTCGATTTATAACATTTCTATTAAACAATTTAATTAAATACTTTTTAATACATAGATATGCTGCAAGCAGGCACTTACTTTCCCAAATTCCAGCCTGCTCATAGGCATAATTTTCCAAATATGCCCGCTACTTCATTACTAATAACTCCATTTTCCAAAAGCGCCTTCTTTGTTGGCTCAACATATCCTAAAAAGACATACATTTACATTAAACAATAGAAATCGCAAAAATTAGTAAATAAAATACTCCCTTTGTTTTGTTTTGTTGTCAAATTTCTAAGAAATGTGAATTCACCACGATGCGATACAGAAAGAACAAGGACCAGGGATGTAATTTTAAGTACATCTATTATTCAGTGGCAATGCGCAGAGCGTTCGGGGCAGCAATATTAATTTGTATCAAATATATCATTAAATGGTGGTTCTAATACATTTTTTGATATTATTAACCAGTGTACATACATTATATGGTATTTATTTCAAAAATTTATGTACTATATGAACATTTTTTTCAAACATTTCTTAAGATTCTTTCAAGAGTGCTGAAAAGCAACCATGCGTGTAAGAAATTGTGTACTACCTAAAATTTCACCTCTGGAAACTTTATCCCCATAAAGGACTTCACCACAGTTTTTTTACTGGATATACTGAGGTTCACACCTGCTACGTCATGCGGTGAGCCGGTACTTTTATACAAATGCTGCGCTTCCTCTAAAAGGAAATGAAACAATTGTTCTATGGCGCTAAATATTTTTTGACAGTTTGTGTGTTTACTTTTGCGAAGCCTTTATTCCCTTCTCCGAGAGTGTGCCTTTTTGGGCGCATGCGCTGGAACAAGTTCCCTGCAATTGTACTTCCTGGAAAAAATAAGAGCTCAGGAGTTTGGTTAATTTGTTTGGGGCAAGAATATCGAATGCATAGTATTTAAGCACACGTGCAACAAGTTCATTTTATAAATACAAGCTTTTCTTCGTGAAAATAAATCAAAAGTCTTGCATACGTTACAGTTAGTGTAAATAAAACTTTTACTATCCGGCTTGGATTCTTAACCATAAATGAAAGCTGACTACCCGCTGGAGACTTCACTTGCAATGCCGCTTGCTTGTCACTTATCGTTTTGACAGTTCGGCACACTTTCCTGGCATTTTCTCTTTCACTATTCGTCGTTTTGCTAGAACAGAGAGCGAGTGCAACATTCTCAACATTAATGAATATCGTGCATTGGTTTCTGGTTTTGGGAGCCTGCCGAAGCAGCCTAACGTACAGTCGATGTGCGAGTGCGTCCCGGTGCGTTTCAATCCCCGTTAAATAGATGGCTCTTCTTTTATTCACAGCCTGAAAAACAGGAAAGAAAACCATTTAAAAAAGTAAAAAAAAAATTACAGGTGAAAACTGAAAGCCGTAGCCTTCGTATATGCTTTTTAAAAATACCGGCTAAATTTGGTCACCACCACTCTAGCCAACAAAAAAAACAGCAAACATTAAGATCTGCACAACATTGCTTTGGATGGCAATGATAAAAGCAAAGCATCAATTAAACATGTTAGAGCCAACGCTGGGCAACATTGAAATAACATAAAATCTACAAAGAAGTAATAATTGTGCTGCATAGTCGCGAAAAAACTTGGATGGGGCGAGGAGGTGTTGAATGATTTGGAAAACTAACGTGTATCATATCACCCGTAAATAATTATAAAAATCTTAAAGTAGATGTTTAAATGGTTCACAAGTGCTAAAAAATTTGCCTGGTGTTTTCTCCTTAGCTCACGTTTATATACAAAGTGCATATGCTCGTATATTTGTGTAATGACCAACTGGAATATGATTAATACAAACTTAATATTCCTGTGCAAAAAAATGTTTTTGGCAGCTGCATAAGTACGTAAAAGCGAAATTGATGACCCGCTCAGAAAACGTTAGCTAAACCAGTTTGTATTTCATTATTCGTTCGTAGCGTTTAAGGCGTTCCCGGTGATTCGGCGTTATACAAGTCTCTACGAAACTCATTCACCTTTCAGTGCGTTTAAAGAACTTTTCATACTTTTGTGTTGTCTGCCTACCACTTCTTTTTATGCCCTGGCACAGAAGTCTGCCCGGAACTGCTTGACCCAATTTCGCGCGCTGTCAGCTGATAAATATTTGAATTGGGTGTTGTTGGTGCTGCAGCGTGCTTTGCTGTGCTGTATTGAAAAAAGGCGTTGGCGCTAGGCTGTGTGTATTTTTTTCATTCATTTCCAATTGTTGAATGTACTAAAATAAAATTGAAGTTTTAAAAAAGAAGGAAAAACTAAGCAAAAGCGGCTAGAGGCAAAAGAGCGAGGCAAACAGCTTTACAGTTAGCTGTTTGTTGCGTATACGTACATACATACATAAATATGTACATATCTACTGCCTTAATCCATATGTAAATATTAATACATATGTACATATTTAATTTGGTGCTTCCTCAAGAGAGTTGAAACTTTTCTTCTGGCTGTTGTTACTTCATTCTGTGCATGGACTTTTTGTCTAGTCTACATGGCGCCATTTCGTTGCTTCCTGTCAGCGATTACACCCAAAGTTTTGAACAACAAAAACTGTTCTTCACCCAACAGCACAATATAAACAGTAATAAACCTTTGTGAGTACTCCTCGGGGGTAAAATCTGATCAGGTTTGATAATGAGAAGGAGCATGCATTTTGTTCATTCAGAGTTGTATACAAAATTACTGTGGTATGAAAGGGAGCAACAACCGTACTATGGCAAAATGGCACAAGTCATGACTGTGTAATAATGACCGAAATTAATTGCATAAGTGTAAAAACATTGCAAATTGTTGTCTAGTATTATAGATACTAGTATAGATTATCATAGTTCAGTGTATAATTTGTTATATAACACCGCACATGATAATGAACTGTTAAATGTTGAAAACGCTTGTAACTTGTAGATCACTCAAACCAGGGTGTGCTTAATGGACTGTCTGGGCGGATGTGCTGGCAGTCATTGGGATTTGTATAGCTATACAAACCTTGTTTTTTTTTTTTTAAATAAAGACTTAAATATATTCGGAAATTTAGAATTTGGCTTGATAAATTCACAAAATTTACGGTTTTCATAAATAATTTAATCTTACAATGGACTTTTTTTATTTTAAGCTTACATTTAAGAAAACTCCATTCAATGCTATAATTACGATTTGAGTTTCCAGTTTATAAAACACAAGCATTATTTATGTACTTAACTATTGATATTATTCTTCATTACGCATGAATATCAGCATACATTAAAGATGAATATTATACTTAACCTACATTTTGTTCATAAATAACACATAATTGTGTATATTTTATCCTCGAAATGTACTTTTTCGTGAGGCGAAATTCCCCAAAGTAAGTGTTGCCGTGCGCGAAAAACGAACACGCTGCACACAACCCAAAAGTACTCCTCGGGGACCAAATGGTGAAAAACTGCGGAAAGGTTTATTACTGTATATACTGTGCCCAACAGCTTCTGTTGAAAGTTACTAGTCGCTTTGTCCTGTTGTTTGCCGTTTTTCTTTTTGTCTGTTGTAGGTACTCACATTGACGCCGTGGATAAAGGAAACTACATAAATGTTTCCAGCTCATCCGCGTGCACAGTCTCCGTTTTGCTTGTGGCTTTAACAAGCTCTCACTTTATTCCCTAGTAGGAATATGCAGTTATATGACGCTGTGCTTTCGTTAATGAATGGTGATATTACCGATGGCGACGAAGTACTCTGAATTTTATACCACACAACGAAGTTGATCCATTGAGATTGTTCTGAAATTTAGGATTGTCTGTGCAGATAGTTGTACTAAACTCCCCAAACATCTGATAAGAAGTTGATCAAATGATTCCGCTAAGTAAGGATAGTTATGCGAGTTTTGTAACTTCGGTCTTGAATTTCGCCAATACATGGCATATCGCTTCAAGGGTAAATTCGCCCTGATATACTTACTTATGTAGTTTGTACACAGTATGTAGCGTCCCTATTCATAGGGGGCGTGGCATCTGACATACTGACTAATATGTGAAAACCGATATATCTCTAAACCCAATTATGTTGGGGAAGTGAAACTTAGCAATGATGCATAAATTATAAATACCCTTCTTACGGCGAAAAATGGTAGGTATTGAAGAAGGGGGCGTGCCACCTCCCATAAAAAATCAAATTCTCATATCGTTTATCTCTGAAACCGCTTATGCAAACGTCCTGCAATTTTACACAGCTATTTATGCTATCAATATCGTACGTATGGCGAAAAGTGGTAGGTATTGGAAAAGGGGGCGTGTCACCGCCCATGCAAACTGAAATTCTCATATCGCTTATTTCTGAAATCGGTTATGCTTACGTCCTCAAAGTTGGACACAACAACATACATACGTACATATCGTCGTTTAAAGTACATAACCGCGTATCGTGATTCTGCAAAACCGCGTAACTCTCATTGGCTGCCAAAAATTGGATTTGCTCACACAAGCTCTTGGCTCAATCCTTATCCATTCGTCCTGAAATATACTAGGCAGATATGCGATTGCTTTATAGAAAAGATAACCATTTTGAAATATGAGTGTTTTTACGCTCTAGAAAATAATTTCTACAACTTCACATGCGCGGTTTTGCATTTTGCTGATACGCGGTTTTGCACTTTAAACGACGATATGTTTCAATACCGTACTTACGGCATACAAACTGAAATTCTCATATCGCTTATCTCTGGAACCGCTTATGCTAACGTCCTGAAATCTGACCAAGCCACAAATGTTATGAATACCCTACTTGGGGCGAAAAGTGGTAGATAATGGAAAACCGAATTTCTAATGTTGCTTATCTCTGGAACCGCTTATGCTAACGTCCTGAAATCTGACAAAGCCACAAATGTTATCAATATCATACTTATGACGAAAAGTGGTAGATAATAGAAAATGGGGCGTGGCATCTCCCATACAAATCGAATTTCTAATATCTCGTATCTCTGGAACCACTTATGTTAACGTCCTGAAATTTGACACAGGTATATATGTAATCACTAACATACTTTTGGCGAAAAGCGGTATGTATTGGAAAGGGGGATGTGGCATCTCCCATACAAAATGCAATTTACATGTGGTTTATCTCAGAAACCACTAAAGATAAGGTAGTGGAATTTGATACACCTACATCTATATAGATACATATAAAATGGCCAGAATCTTCAACTAGGAACCGTTTTCTCCCAGATTTCTAAATCGCTTTGAATGATTTTTTATTATGTACAAATAATTTTTTAAGGATCAGTGTGTTTGTCTTCCGTTAGCTGGCGCAGGAATTGAGAGCTATCCCTAAAAATCCTATTTAGATATATTATGGTCAGATTTGTGTTGAGTTTTTAACCTTCTAAGAGGCTATCTGGGCAATATAACCGAAAAACTGTCGCTGAGGAACAGTTAGGCATCACATCTATACATACAAATTCTTACATATGTATTACAGGGTTGCAAGAGCTAACTCATGAATTCATCCCATAACTCGAGTCTAGCGTCGCTATTGAGTTGAAACGATCGTTAAGCATTGGTTGGTGGTGTGAGTGTCAGTTTCGTTTGTTTATGTGATGAATTAACGAGTTTACCCGCTAGTGAAAGACAAGAACTAACATATTTTCTTAGTATCTGCATTCAACTAGTTTCAACTTAACAGTGGCGCTAGACTCGAGTTAATTCATGAGTTGATTCTTGCAGCCCTTTAATATATATATATGTAGGTATGCATATAAATTCACTATAAAGTTTGGTGGAGGACTTCAATATCGTAATTCGCATAAAGGAGTCAATATTGGCGATAAGCAATATTCAAAAGTGTATGAAAAAGATGTCGAATTCCGACAACTGGGTGATACTAGTATTGATAAATCAGTCACACATACGTTGTCATAAGTGGGCGGTGCGACGCCCATTTCCCTTTTGCAAAAATCTCATTTACTCCTTTTTACACTGAGGGAAATAATGCATAGTAAAAATGAATACTTTATATTTGATTTAAAAATTATATTTTCATACAAAATTTATTACGCACGTATTTGACTGTTCACATCTGAGTATGTATATGTTAGTGTACACACGCACCCCAAGCATGCAGAGCGCCGCTCTGAGAGCGGTGACAACACACACATACATACATAGTACATATGTACATGTTTATCCGTAAAAATCGCGTGCTGTGGTGTTAATGGATATTCAACATTTGAAAGCAAATTTATATGCCTGAGTGTAGCATGCCACAATTTGTTGATATCCAGAGATGGTCAGGGTTCGAATTCCACTGCAGGCAACATGCAAGTTAAATATTTTTTTTTTTTAGTTTTTGTCTTGATTATTCACTTCACGGATGCCTTTTCATAACGAAAGCGGTCATTTTAATATGCGCGTAATTGAATTGAATATTTACCAATATACAGTACTTTCGTTGACGTTTATAGTAAGATCAATTACGTTTCTATTTGATTTTAATATTTTTTCCCCTCAGTGTGTTTACTGATTTATGATAGTTTTCGAATTTCTGTAAATTACCGTTATGTGGGAGGTGAGCGTGGTTACAGTCCGCTTTCGCCCATTTTCAATATTTATGTCTCAAATTTTGTTGAGATATCTCAAGTTTCACACGAGCTATCGTGTACAAGGACAGACGGACGAAACAAATTTGGTTTATAATAAAAAAGGTATATTGAGCGGCAAATAAAAAATATTATCTACCTATATGTATGTGTGTATATGTGCGTGAATCATCCGCTATTGAATATTTTTGTGCTTTTCCGATTACATGAACAAATTTAATTATTGTAAAAATAATCAAGTGCGTGCATCGAGGCACACCTGTTAGCCATCCAAGGTCACAATCCAATCGCTACACAGCAATCCATGATTGTTTGATGACGACAAATTCTTTACAGGTGCGTTAAGGTTCCCGCAGTCAATTTTGTTTAGAAAAACGAATAGAAACTTCAAATGCCAAAATTTTAATATCTTCTTCGTTACGCACAAGTAAAGTGAACGTGAATCTAAAGCACCCACCAAAATCCGATAGATTTATAAATATATACAAAAAAAGTGAACGAAATGTTTTCTTGCTGCCGCGCTAAAACTAAAAAAGACAAAAATAATAAGAAGAGTGATGTGCAAGAAACAAAAGATGAAGTAACGAATGACCGAAAACGAATTATACCAACGATAAAAATTGAAACCGGCAAAACGAGTGATTCCAACGATGAAGAAACAGATTCATCTCCACCACAAAACGGAAATAAAGCTGAAAATGTTGCGAATAATACGAATTCAATATTACACAGTGAAGTAGCGGAAGCCGAGGAGGCGACAAAAAGTGCAGCGACGGATATTACAGCCGATTCTCATTTAGCGGAAGCAATTGGTATTTGTGCTGTTTTTTTTCAATTTTTTCAGTTAATTTTTTGTTGTATTTGAAATTTACCAGCATTCGAAAGAGGCTATATTACTTTTAATACATAGTCATGTCCGAATAGCGTCAGGAAATAACTGTTGAAATGTTTGTTTTTCGCTACGAATAATGCATGTGTATCTCCTGTCAAAAAAATAATCGAAACATGGCAATAAAACGTCAAAGATCTATTAATAGTCGTTTGCAAGCTGAGATGGACGGGCTAACGACCTCCTTATTTAGACTCTGTTCGCAGGAGAGTCAAAATTTCTGAAACGGGCCACTAAAAATTAAGTAGTAGAATTTCAAATATATTTTGGCAGATATTCAAAGGTCTATATGTGAAAATCAATATCTTCAAATATTCTTTGAAAATTTCAATTTTTCACAAATTTATTCATAAATGAATTTTTGACCTTCTTTTCATTAATTTTATATATTAATTGCTATATTTCCGTAAATATTCAATGAAAAATAAACAAATTTTAATGGTGTATTCAGAAAAAGTAGCAGAAACGAAAAAAATATTCATATTGGAAAAATTTTATTTTTTAATATTATTAAATAATAATAAATTTCCCAATAAACAATTGACAATTTAAATGACTTCTCCTTGTGTTCAACAAAAAAAAATTTACGATCTTATTCTATAAAGTATACACTAAAAATACGTGCAACAATATTTGAGTGCACTCTATCCCATAAAAAAGTACGAATGTTTAAACATTATCGTGGATACGCGAAACCACTACCGACGTTGGAACGCAGCGCCGATATACCTGAGCCCGTTCGTCGTTGCATACTTGCGTTTTAAAAAGCATATAGCTATATTATTATTACATATCGTTATCTTAATATAGAAAGGCCCTAACTGATATTGTCGCTGAAATACAAAAAGCCGTAACTAAGTAAAAATCCAAAATTTCCATTTTGATTGTTTGTGATACATTTCATTGCATTATAAATCCCCACATCATTTTAAGCAATAAAAAATTTGAGTCAGTAATGGCTTTTTTTTTGCGTTTCAGCGTTTATATGAGTTAGGGCCTTTCTATATTAAGGTAACGATATGTTAATAATTCTTACGATTAATTCTTTATATTAATAGTTATTGAAATCTCAGTGCCTAAATTTATTTTCGAAATCATGAGGCTCCTAAATTCTGAGAATCTTGAGTACAAACTAGAGGTGTGCATAAATGATTTGAAATGCTGTTTATAAAATAATAGTTGATTGTATCAACTTGATACTAGTATTACGGGGTACTAGCACAAAATGACTAACATGGAAAACACTGCTGCCATTCACTTCACACCCAACTGTTTTACTGCACTCGCTGTACTGCTCCGTTACTTTGCTCTCTTCAGTATAAATCAATATTTGCAGTAAGCAAACAAATACTGTCATTGCAGGAGTTATAGTTAGCAGTTTTGATGGCGAGCAAGCATTGATTTCACTTTTTTTACTGTCAAGTGAACTTGATTCACTACTGCATTTCTGATATTGTACACCTCTAGTACAGACGACGCGTCCGTTAAACAAATGAGAATCGCGTATATCAGTGTCACTGCCCACGGAAAAGGAGCTTGGCATTGGTGGCTGCGTTAAAAAAAATTCATACTGCGCTAGTCTACAGGATAAAACCATTCTTTCGAAACAAAAATTGTTCGACTGATTTTGATTTTTGTACTTTAGCTGAATATAGAAAACATGAGGTGTTGGAGAAACGTTTCCTACAGCCAAAACCATCAAGGGAACACGCCAGTTTCATTGCTACAAACCCTCTGCTTCAAATTGCTTAGAATGTAAGATTTTTTCAAGCCACTCAGAATATGTAATTGTAAAAATATAAGCAAAAAATCAACGTTGTAGTTAAATAACAAAATTGGGAAAAGTTCTTAATTAAAAAATGTTCCATTCATAAAGTACCAATCATTCATAAGATACTTGTGTTGATAAAAAGATAATCATGCAACAACGAACGGACCCAGGTTTATCGGCGCTGCGTTCCAACGCCGGTTTCGCGTATCCACGGTAATGTTTTAACATTCGTACTTTTTTATGGGATAGAGTGCACTAAAATATTTTTGCACGAATGGTTAGTGTATACTTTATAGAATAAGATCGTAAATTTATTTTTGTTTAAAACAAGGAGAAGTCAGTTAAATTGTCGATTGTTTATTGGGAAATTTATTATTACTTAATAATATTAAAAAATAAAATTTTTCCAATATGAATATTTTTTCGATTCTGCTACTTTTTCTGAATACAGCATTCAAATTTAGCCCTGGGGCTAGTTAGTTAAGTGTTAAAATAGTATAGCAATTTTTATACTTTTACACAAAAGACGATTTTTATTGAAACACTTTTACTTATTATCCACATATATTATTTATACTCTGACCAAAACTTGCTAAAAGTTGCTTCAAGCATTTAACATACCGAGAGCTCAAACCATTTTCTGGGAAAAACTAAAAAGGTAGGACTGACCTGGGAGTAGTTTTTAAATTGTCCAAATTTCGCTCGTCATTGAGTCATAAAACGCACACCTTAGTAATTTATGGATGTAGAGTTCCATCAAATATTCTCTGCTGTAGCCGCTGAAAGTCAAATCAACATTTAAAGTGTTATTTATATGAATTTCGACCATGAATTATGGCTGGATAAATATCAATTAAGGCCCATCCACATACAACTTTGGAGTTGCGTTGACGTTGGCGTCGCTTTGACAGCAGCGCGAGTAACGCTAGTGATTGCTACAATGAACACTTAGCAGCGAATACTATGGTCACTGAATTAACATACTAGCGGCAGATAAATAAAAATTGTGTATCAACAATTACATTAAAAACGATAAAAAGGCACCTTTTTTCACATAATTTTGACAAACGATGCACGCGAAAACTTGAGAGTTGGCCATCTTTCTACTTTGTGTGGCGTTAGCGTTGCCAAATGTTGGCTATGGGGACGGCTGCATTGAAATTCATGTATTCATGGTCAGATGCAGTTCCACTCAACTATATAAATTTGCATTTTGAAGCCACGTTTGAAGAGAAATTCTTCTACATACCCATACGTATTAGTAAGAGTTATCAAGCATAATGCCCAAATGTTTGTCGGAGTATTCTAGCAGTACATATGTGTTCAGTCCTAACTCTAAAGCTGTGAACACTCGAAGACGACATCGCCTCACGTCACGACATTAAGGTTTTATCTATGTACATAATCTAAACGCCTTGTTGACGGCGACATGAATTTGTTTGAGTTTGACATAAATGAATCTATATATATCTACCTGTCGCTTGAAAAATAGAAATAGATCTAATCTAGCTACAGCTACATAAGAGTACGTGTTAAAATAATTTGACAGCAGCTTTGTGGTACTTCATTCACCACCAGCGTTGCCATTTTAGCCGTGACCCAGTGAAGATTTTTAATGAACTCACTGTTTTACTTTCGCATCTATGCTCCCTAGTGGTTATTAGCGCGGACACCTTTGATCCTATATGCTCCCCGTTGGAACCATACCTTGCTCCATTTCCTCAGTTTTATCACAGTTTTGAAGAGTATTTAAAAACAAAAGTAAGCACAAACGCTTTTGACCACGAAGCCGAGAAAATAATTCGAGAAAATGGTTGCTATTTTATTATCACTTTAATAAAGGAATTACGCCAACGCCTCCCTACAAATATTGCCACACTAAAAAAAATTGACTTTTTTCGGTTGGAAATGCATTAAGAGTAATTAAACCAAAAGTATTTGTTCAACTACATCAACAAAAACACAAATATAATGCCGACGAAATAACATCCATAGAGATGCAATGACAACGGTTAACGTTACATACCTGGAGTAATTTAGACTCAACTGTAAAATTTTGGGCAGAAGTTTATCAATTTCGAAATGCCCTAGGAGAAAACCCTTTTGCTCACCTTTCCAACCTAGTTTTTAGTTTTCTTGTTTTGCCTATAAGTAATGCAGAAGTAGAGCGAATATTTAGTTCAATGAATATAATAAAAACTAAGCAAAGAAAGCCAATGTGCGTTAAAACGTTAAACGCTATTTTATATATAAGATACGGTTTAAAACGTGAAGAAAAATGCTGCCATAATTTTACTGTAGATGACGATCTCTTAAAATTAATGAATTCAGGTGATATATACAATAGTGATTCATTTGATGATGAGGAATATACACTCGATATAAATTAATGGTGTTAACTAGTCTTTCGTTTCTTGCGATTTATTTAAATAAAGCATGTGAATTTTCACTAAAACATTTTAGCCGTTTTTAGCCGCTTTTTTTTGCCAATCTAGCCGGTCGGCCCAAAAAGTTCTGGCAACACTGTTCACCACTTTTAATTACCTCACGGCTCTCGAAATGTTTCATACCACTTATGTATGTGCTCTCGTTCTTGAGTGAAGATCGACTTCCATTGCTTCTCAATACCGGTTAAATTTTTACAGAATTTACATATATTTTGGAAATTATAAACAAACGCATCATCACACTTTCATCATTTTACTTTCCATAGCATTGAAAATATGTAATTGGAATGTTTTCAATTGTCCTTGTATAATGATGGTATAAACCTTTTCATTTCTAATTGCCGCCATGCTATTGTACATATTGCCTTCACAGCGGATAGGGCCCAAAGTGATGAACAGAAGAAGTCCTCACCGACGAGCGTTAGCATCGATAAAAGTTCCAATACAACACAAGATAAAATAAATTCCGATGAAACTTCAACAGTAGCCACTGCGAACTCTGCAGTAACTGCGACTTTGGCGAATCATGAAGCACCGGAGAATGAAGTTACTACTGGTTTGAATGGCCAAGCCGAGGCTATTGCAGGCACCACACCAGTTAAAAGTTGCCTGTCGCGTCACAATTCCACGCATACATCGATAAAAAAGAAGGTGAATATCAGCTCACATACTGAAATAATCGAACCAGATCCCCTGCCTCCGCCTCCATACGATCCCATTGCATTGGCTGTTGACGACGATGATGTCTTCTCCGATTCACTGCCCCCGCCAAAACGTGAAAGTATGTGCGCACCCTATATCGAGCCCAGTGAAGTTCCAGAGACGGCGGCATATGCCCATGGGCTGCCCGAATGGTTCAACGATGAAAGAATTAATGACATGTAATTTAAAGTTCCTCTACATATGTATATATTCCCCAAAATGTCTTGTTTTGTTTTTGGCCTGAATCTTTATAAAGTTTTATTTCCTTTTTTTTGTCTTATTAAGTATTTGTTTATGCATATGAAGTAAGGAAAAGTACCACGGACACACGCAATACCATAATATTTAAAAAAATATAGTTCGAAGTACATAAGAGGACCAGGACGATTTGCGTTATAGAAACTCAGCAGCAAGTTTAGGTTCACAATTGAAAAATGTCACCTCATTAACCCCTGCCAAGATACATACTGTTGTGTAAGTCTTCCATGTACATAAGTTACAGTCAAATAATTAATAATTTGCGATACAAATTCTTTTTGTGATGAAAAACCGAAATTTCGGCAATGATAGTAAGCGTTTGTTTCTAAATATAATGTATTGACAGTTAAAACTGAAATCATTCTTACTTTAGACCGATATGCTTATGTATGTATTTTTATTTTGATAATTTAATAAGGACAGCAGTTATCGCTCACTCACTTAATTGAGAATGTTTAGCTTTTCTTTCAAAAGAAAATGGAGGAGATTCAATATTTGGTTGGAAATCTGTTCTTTTCATTTACATATAATCGAAAAAAGGAGTATTACTATACATATAGTATCTACATATTTTGAAAAACTAATGAAAGATAAACAGACTTACGCACTCTGATAGGAAGAGCTAAAAAATCTGGAAATTTTGGGCACCTACTGCAGACTTTCCAAGGATGATTGTAGGCTGAAAAATATTTAGATATGTATATAAAGGGGGCGTTTTACAAACTGCATATCTCTGGAAGTATTCGTTCTAGTTCAGAACTTTTCTTCTATGTGGTTGTTGTTGTGTTGCTCTCCTAATTCGGATTAGGAGACCAACTGAGAAAAGTTCTGAACTTTTTTGAGTTCTTAACTCAACTTCAATATTATTTCCGAACGTTTTTGCCAGAATTGCCACACTTGATTTTAATTTAATTTCTAGTTTTTTCGCTTCACAAGGCACTTGAATTATGAGCTTTGTTTCTAAAAATTGTTAAATTTATTAAAAATGAATTGAACGAAAAAATCCGCATAGAAAAAATATATACGTATGTGTAAAACACTTAACGTTCAAATTTCCAATTACGAATTCATTTTCATTAATATTGGCAACACCGTATGTTATCATTTTTACATCAAGAACAGTTTAGAACTATTGAATTAACAATGAGTAAATTAGAAAAAGTTCTAAACTAGAACGATGAATATGCCTTATCAATGTTTTTTAAAGGGGCGTGACACCGCCCACTTTTAAGCAAACGTGTGGGATCAAACATTTGTAGAAAATTTCGGTTCGGTAATGGTTCAGTTAATTAGTAGAAAAAACGGTTAATACAGTTTACAACCGGTTCCTTTCAAAACTGGGTCGCGCTTTTAAATGAGGTTAAATTGTCATGTTTTCGGCAATCACACAGGGCAATGTAAAAAGCTAAAGCTAAATCGGCATGACAACGCGCTACATTTTCGGCGTTCTCTACATGAGTACGTACCATACAAAATACCGTATTTCAAATTTAAAAAATCGAATTTTTTATTTTTGACCAGTTTTTTTAGCTCTTCAGAGCAGTGTGATACGGATCAAAAAATCGATTTTTAACCAACCATATGACCAATACTGTATTCGATTATTTAACTTTAAATTAAAAAGTAATGAAGTTAGGCTTCTTAGGGTGGAGAATGTTGCTGATTTTCCGGTCCGCACCCGTGTAAGAAAGTCACGGTCCATGCTTTGCAATTAATTCTTAGAAAAAATAATAAGTCCTGCTGCTTTGTTTTAAAAACCATAATTCCTTTCTCGTTATTCGTTATATTTCTTATTTTATTTTGTGCTGTAGTTCTGTTTCCTTTATAATGTTGTATGCACATACAAATTTTAAAAGTATCCGCTTTTAACATGTATCTACTTATTTATGAATTTATGAAAAATCACCGACAAACGCAACGTTTCGCTAACACGAATTTAAAATGCATCAACCATCTATTAAAAACAAAAACAACCGTTAAAATTCAATAATTCACGATTTGAAAACAAAAAATTAAAGCGGTTGCATTGAGCCACCTGTTACGCCTGTTGGCCGCGACGAGCTGGAACTGAGGCGCCAGCGTCTGTACACAGACCTTTTACGTGCCGCACATGCAGCCGTGGAGCATAACGTGCGCTTTACCCCGTTTGCAACTGATTTTCTCCATCCACATCAACTGTATCAGATGGATGCCAGAGAAGGCGACGGAGGAGTAGAAGTTAGAGGTGATCGACTCTTATATGAACTTAAGTAAAATGCAGTTTTCATAATGTTATTATTTTATCACCAACTCGTATGTATGCATATACAGTGATGGCCACGTAACTAGAGACACTACTTTTTTTAAGTTTGGACCATTTATTTTTTCTTTATTTTCAATTTATTCTTAACAAAAATATAGTTTATACTACACCGAAAAGCATGCAACTCAAAGTTTCACATCTTGTACAAGATTTATAAAAATTCTCGAAATTTCGAAAAGTGGTCACCAAATTTAAATTTTTTTAATCAGAATTTCTAGCAGGATTTTGGGTATGCAGTTTTATAGTATAATACTGTGCAAGTTCCAACGACTAGGAATTCGCGTAGGTTTTGGGATTTTTTTTTTGCTGCCAGTGTTACGCCTTTTCTTTCACCGAAGTACATATTACATAGGTATGTATGTATGTATGTAAAATTTTTTTTATGGGAGAATATGAGCAACCCCGTCAACAAAAAAAATCTCAAAAATCAGCACGGGTTATTAACTTGCATAATGTTATACAAAAATTTAATGTGTTATAAGAGTTTTTTCTAGAAGTCCTGATTAAAAAGTTTGAAACTTTGAGTTACTTGGTTTTTGTTGTGGTATAAACTATATTTTTGTAAAGAAAGTAAAATAAATTAAAAAATTAACGAATATATAAATTGTCAAAACTTGTAAAGAAGTGGTATTCTTAATTATGATTATATGTATGTACTAAGTATGTATTTATTGCATGCTTCGAGGAAATTTCCTGTATCCCTTTCCGACCTGAATCAAATTGGGTGGTGGCTAAAACTTTTTTGATGGCATAGTCCGGTCAATTTAGATATTCGAGGTTACAAACCCATCTGAAAATTGGTAGGATTGTTCAAAACACCATCATAAATGAAATCTAAAAAGTCCTCATCGATCCGATACCTGGAAAACAAGTTACTCGGGGTCAAAGGTCACAAAAACGGGGTTTTCGCGATTTTCAGCAACATAACGTCATAAATGAAATCAAGAAAGTCCTCATCGATCCGATACCTAGAAAAAAAGTTACTCGGGGTCAAAGGTCACAAAAACGGTTTTTCGTGATTTTCAGCAAAACGGTAAGTTTATCATAAAATTAGTTTAGATACAAATTTTAGATCAGATAATTATCTATAAAAAATGTCTTAAAACTTTTTTTCAAAAAGTGGGAAGAGTTGAAATCGGCATAATATGTATAAGTACAACAAAGGTGGCGTGGAAACGTGTGCATATTATGACGATTACAACTCTTCCAACTTTTTGAATCGTTATATCTCGGAAACGGTAGCTCTTAGGACAAAGGGCTTTTAGACATTTTTTATAGATAATTATCTGATATACAATTTTTGTCTAAACTAATTTTATGATAAACTCACCGTTTTGCAGAAAATCGCGAAAAAGCCATTTTTGTGACCTTTGACGCCGAGTAACTTTTTTTCTAGGTATCGGATCGATGAGGACTTTCTAGATTTTATTTATGATGGTGTTTTGAACAATCCTACCAATTTTCAGTTGGGAGGGAATTTTTGTAACTTCACTCCAATTTTTGGTCTAATTTGACCGGACTAGCATATTATTGCTGGTTGAGATTTAAATATGAACTGTATAAATTTTAAATGTCTATGACTGCTTGTTTTGCCGAACTGAAATGTTGCTTATAAATGTTTACAAAGTTTCCTAACAGAAACCAATAATAATATTCAAGGTTTGATGTTTTTATTTAACTGTAATAAATTTTAAAGTCTAATTCCGAAATAAAAGTCTCTTCCGGATTATAAACAAACCGCTTATCCAAATTAAACAAGTTTGGTATCAAAGGAAAGAGGACTTAAATAGCTTTAAAAATGAAATATCTAAACGAGGAAAGCCACATATTGAAAAATATTTCAACAAAAAATGTTAATTAATTACCATAGAACAAACCTTGTGTCAGGTATATGCATTTCTTTAGTATTAAATTATAAAAAAAATTATAAATATAGGTCGTTCGTTATTTCTGCCACGAAAATTTATCTGGTTTCGATAGTAAAGAACTAAAATGTTTGCTTGATAGCCTCTCTATTTAACTTAATTTTTTTGAGTGGTATATAGTGCTCTTGACGCACTGCTGCACTTATAGTCACTTTGTGTTTTCGTACATGGGAAAGGCCCCCTGCAAACTAAAAAGAACCGGATATTGGTATAACACTGAGTGGGACTACGTGGTGGAAAATTGGTGGAAGGAAAGGAGTTTACGTGTCTGCAGTGACAACCAAGCTGCAATTAAGGCCTTGGCCAGTCCTCTAACTACTTCCAAACTAGTTCGGCAATGCAAGTCTCGACTAAATTATGGTGGTAAACATAACGAGCTTGCTTTACTCTGGGTGCCAGGTCACTCACGAGTACCTGGTAATGAGACATCTGATCATTTGGCCAGAATTGGCTCAGACCAGGCATTCCTCGGTCCGCAACCAGTTTTAGCACACCCACTTTCAGAAACTGGGTGTTCGCTCAGCAATGACTGGAAGGCATCGAGGGATGGAGGTGTGCAAAACTCATGTTGCCTTCAATCTCAGAAGGTCTTACTGGTTTTTTGCTCTCACTGAGCAGACGACACTGCAGAAAACTTGTTGGACTGCTGACTGGTCACTTCACGTTGCACAAACACCTGGCCGTGACAAGCGTAAATGACAAGTCCATTTGTCCATTCTGCCTTGAAGAGGATGAGACGGTGGAACACTTTGTCATCGATAAAAAGCTTAGCCGTTTTTTTGTTTAAGTTTTGTGTTTTAAGACTGTGAGTGATAAATATTTCTCGCCTCACTTTAAAACTCGGAGTGATAAAAATAAAAGTGATGCCATCAACACAAATAAACAATTTTACAAATACTCCACGTACAAAGTCATGAATGAGCCGAACATTTGATGAGTTGAGTTTATGGTGAAGATAATGTAAATAACGCTAGGACTCGAAGTGCTCTTAAAAAATATAAATCCTCAGAGCGAGAGAGTATTTTGATGGATTTACGAGCTCTATTTTTTAAAACCGGCAAGTGTGTAATCACAATATTCTAATAAGTAGAAATAAAAAATAATAGAAAGAAAATATTTTAG